TGTTGCAGTGGCGCAGTTCCCCCTCCAAGTGCCCGACTACATCTTCTGATAATAAGATTGCGGGATTGACATGTTTTACATGGAAACTCCAGTGCAAGGATCATCATGCATGTGAGTATTTGTATTGTTGGGCGACTGACCATAGCAGTCCTCTTTGTATTTAAATGATATATATTTTGCACATTTGGAATTTCATTTTCTCAATGCTGGCCTGTAAGCAGAATAACAACCTATTTATGTGTGAAGAGCTCTAGGTAGCTCCTAGTGTGTTCCATGCTTTGATGTATCCCTGTACAAAATCTACAGACGCTAAAAGCAAATACAAATATCGAATAGCTTTGACCGGGTAATCCGGACATATGAATTTTCATTGTTACTACTTTTGATCATTCTATTTCGAGACATTTTTTAGGGAAAGGTATCTGATACCTAATTCAAATTTAGTTTTGGTAGAATTAGTAGGCCATTATGATGCCAAAAATAAAAAAGGATTAACATCAAAAGACCCCCTCAAATTCTCAATGTGGGCCTCGGAATTTGAATTTCATCAATTTACATTCCAACGTTTTCAAATCTAACCAATTTAAACCTTCCGTTAAATTGACCGTTTGGTCAGACATTAATTAATAACGTGTTCATTGTGGGACTCACCTATTAACCAATTCAAATATATATATATATATATATATATATATAATAACATAAAATTTAAAAATAAAAAAAGCTTGAAAAACCCAGCCCCTCCCCTCCGAACAACCCAGCTCCTCATCCCTCGCCAGTTCCCCACCGCTTCCCGCACTAACCCCAGCCTCCTCTCTCTTTCTCTGCACAACCAAAAGCCATGAAAAAACCAGAAATATACCCAATGACAGTCTCAAGCCAGCTCCTTTCTTCACTGGTGGAACAAACCCCCCCTCAATTCAGCATGTTCTCAAGTTTTAGGTCCATGTAGATGATTCCCAGCATGTGGAGGCATTCCAAACCACCAGAACTTCCGCAGTATAAAACATGGAAATAGAGATCCTAGTTAAATTTGGATTTTATTCTTTTTTTGAAAATTAAAAATCAAATAAAAAGAAAATTATGCAATCAATATCTGAGAAAAATGGAGGAATATTCAAAATTTTCGATCTTGGCTCTGTGGGCCTTCTGATTCAACGCTAGAGCCTTTCTTGTCTATGAATTTCATGGCCTAAAAGCACAAGGAAGACGAACACCTTCAATCCTGATGGGCGGGACTGGAACCGGTGCGAGAGGGGGGTGTTGGTGGGGCCGCTGGGTTGTTGGGTAGGGAAGAGGCCGGGTTTTTTTTAAGGTTCTTCTCGCGATCCCGATGGGTAGGATTGGAACCGATGCCTCTGAGGGTGCAAAGGTAGATGGTGTCGATGTCGCCGGCGCTGATGCGGAGGAGGAAAGGGGCTAGGGTTGGAGTGAGAGGGGGTGGGAGTGGTGAAGGCGCTGGGTTTTTTTTATTGGGAAATGACCCTCACTACCACCCATTTGTTAATATTAACTAAAAATACCACCCCTTCCCAATTTTTGTAAAACTACAACCTATAAATATAAAATTATTGTCCACTTATTGCTGATTTATCACAAGTTCATACATTTTGGTCTCTCTTAGCTCACTCAGCTCTTTCTCTCTCTCTCTCTCTCTCTCTCTCTCTCTCTCTCTCTGTGGCACAGCTCTGTTTCTCTTTGGTATAGGTCTATCGCAGCTCTCTGTCTCTCTTGGCTCTCTCTCTATAGCACAACTCTCTGTCTCTGTCTTTGCTCTCTTTCTCATACCTCAGCTCTTTCTCTCTCTAGCTTCGTTATGTCTCTTTCTCCCCATATTCGGTCTTGCTCTCTGTTTGGAATCGCGAACCCCTCCCTTTAGGTATGTCTTCTGAATAGCTGCTTGCAACCGTGAAGCTGTAGTGGATTGCCGACCTCGAAAAGGTAGGGTTGATGGTTATTTTCTTTTAATATCAGTGGGATTATGTGAAATGGGTTACATTTTGATTGTTTGGGTCTGTGTGAAATTGGTTTTGGCTTTAATTG